AGAAGAGAAGAGAAGAGAAGAGAAGAGAAGAGAAGAGAAGAGAAGAGTAAAAAATAGTAAAGAAGAGAAGAGAGAATAGAATAGAACAGAACAGAATAGAATAAGGAATAGAATAGAATAAGGAATAGAATAGAATAGAGAGAACAGAATAGAATATATAAGAGAAGAGTAAAGAAGAGAAGAGAGAATAGAATGGATTAGAATAGAATAGAATGTAGAGGAGAATATAGAAGAGGAAAGAGGAAAGAATAGAACAGAACAGAATAGATGTAGAGGAAAAGAATAGAATAGAATAGAATAGAATAGAATAGAATAGAATAACAGAGTTGGAAGGGACCTTGGAGGTCTTCTAGTCCAACCCCCAATTGTTGTGTCCAAGGGAGAATTACTGGTAGTACACAACTTAACGACCACAATCGGGATTCCATTGCAGTTGTTAAACGAGCCCGACATTATGACTTATTTTGCCAGGATTGTGAAGTGAATCACTAAAAGCTGCATAAGAAGTGATCGATCAATACTATTTTTTTAAAGAAATGAATCGAAGCCATGTATACCTGGAAGAATCCTAGAATCGCAGGGTTGGAAGGAGCCCTAGAGTGCATCTAGTCCAACCCTGCCCCCTTGCTTAGGGTAGGTTGATAACCACGTCAGCTGCTTTGTGTTGGACAGAGGGGTTCAAGAGGTATAATTTTATGTTTTTAATATAAGCTTAGGTCAAATAAGGACATTTAAAGATTCAGTATCTAGTTACCTGGTAGTGTTTTTTCTGTGTGTGTGTGTGTATTTTTCCTTTCTCCACTTTAAAAAAAAACAAAAAACAAATATTGGTGTTTCTGTTTGACCTCTCAATATTTGAAGAGGTAAACTATTACGCTGTGGTTGAACGTTTTCACTACTCAAGTTTTACTGGTGTCATTTGGCCGCTGTTATTGCTTTTTATAAACCTTGGGTGCAGGCAGCCTCTTCTATGAAGAGCAGGCGTTTTGAAACTTTTCAAATAAAGATCATTACTAAATGCATTCATGTCTCGGTATGTTTAATTTCCTTATTATTCCAGGCCCCAAGCGCCCTCCGGGTGGTGGGGTTGACCACAACATCCATCATCCCCACCCCAACTGGTGATGGCTGGGGGTAAACCAAGTCCCAGGATCCCCAAATAAATATCCAGGGTCTTCTCTATCTAAACTTTTTTTTTATTTTTATTTTTATTGGCTTAGATGTGCCAAAAGTGTGACAAACAAGCAGGATTTCCGACACGTAATCTTTTTTAAAAAAAAATACTTTATTCAATTTTCAAACAGTTTAAAAAAAACATACAAAAAAATACAGTTATAGCAACATTAAAGACATCATTTACATTTCTTAATCTTATTCTTATACTTAATTTCCTATTACATTGCAATTATTACACATCACTTTTCCTATTAATTCACTATTTCTTATTCCGTATTTATACCACTCGTTAGGTAGTATATTTTCTATTAATTCTACATTCAGTATATATAACTTCATATCCTTAATTACAGTACTACTTGCCCCCCCATTCTCAAATCATGCATATCAGGCATCCCAGATTAAATAGTATCTCAATTCCTCTTTACCTTTTTAGGACAGGTCAGCCTGTCCATTTCTGCACAGCCTAGTTTTTTCCTTATCACTGCTCCCTCTTGTAGTGTCTCCCCCTGTTTCCAGTGTTATGCATATGAGATCCTGGCAGCGGTTGTTATATGTAGAATGATATATCTATCAGTTTTACTATATTTTCCCTTTTTTTATACCCAATAAAAATAGTTCTGGTTGAAATTCAATTTTTCGTTTTATTATTTTAATAGTATTTCCTCAATCTTATATATATAATTATAAAAACGAAAGACCACTCAGCCATCATCACAAAATCTCCAGAACCGTAAAGCCTACATACTTTAAATTTGGCACATAGGTTCCTCTTGGCTTCTAGGTGCTCACTGAGAAAGGATTCTTCCAAATGACCATTAGAGCATTTAGAGTATTTCCTATATTATTATTATTATTTACACACACTGACGCTAAGGAGCTCTACTCCCCCTCCCCACCTGAAAAGAAATCTCTTCCAAATGCAAAACATAAGCAGAGGAGTTTCAGTTTTGGAGCACCAAGCAGCTTTAGTACAGAACAGTTGAGCTAAGCCATGCCCAGGCTCCTTGCTCACACAGCAAATACTGTTTCAGTTTCCAAACAGCTCTCAACTCTCACACACTGACAGGATGCTAGCCAGATGAATACCGATGGATGCTGGTAGGCAGAGGCAGAATTTTTTCTCCCCTTATTTCCTCCCCCAAAACTAAGCCTGACCACATGGTTTCATAGCGAAGCACGGGTATCCAGCGAGTAAATACATATATACAGGTAGTCCTGAACTTAACAGCCAGAACAGAGCCCAAAATGGTGGCCAAGCAAGACGTTCATTGTGAGTTTTGTCCGGTTTTTACAACCTTTCTTGCCACGGCTGTTAAAGTGAATTCCTGCAGTTGTTAACGTTAGTAAGATGGTCATTAAGTGAACCTGGCTTCCCCGTTTGACTTTCCTCGGCAGAAGGGTCGCAAAAGGGCATCGCGAGAGCCCCAGACACTGTGACCGTCGTACGTATGAACCAGTGGCCAAGCAGCCGAATTTTGATCAGGTGGCCACGGGACATTGCAACAGTCCTAAGTGTGAAACGCGGTCCTAAGTCACTTTTTTTCAGTGCCGTTGTAACTTTGAACAGTCACTAAATGAACTGTTGTAAGTTCGAGGACTACCTGTATCCGGGAGGGACACAAAGCATTCTCTTTTCTGTCTTTTTCTCCTGTCTTTTGCAGGCTTGAAAGCAAATATCTTTCCATTGTTGATGATGGACTCCGTTTGAATTCCTTTTTGGAGGGGGGAAAAAAAACAAGTTTTTTTTTAAAAATGATTATCTTCCCTTCTAAGTAAATCCAGGAATTCTTGCTTAATTCCTTGGAAAATCACTGTGACTCACTTCTGCCTAGTTCCCCCATTGAGCTTGGACCTGGAGATACCGACTCCACCAAAATAGTTTTCCCCAGGAATTCTGTTTTGGGGTGAGAGAAATTGGTGGAATTGGAGTGACATTTTCATCACTTTCCAAAGAGGTTTTTTGTTTTTGTTTTTTTTCAATGCTGTTCTTGCAAAATTTAGCCATGTCAAGTTGAAATAGTTTGATTTATCGCTATTTTTCCCCCTCTTCAAAATGGGTGGGTTGTTGTTTTTTTCAGACTGGGGGATGCCCAAAAGTCTTCTTCAAGGGAATTGGGAATTGCTACATTAATTCCAGCCTTTCCTTTCCTTTCTTTTCCTTCCCTTCCCTTTCCCTTCCGTTCCTTCCTTCTCTTTCTATTTTCTTTCCTTCCTTCTCTTTCTATTTTCTTTCCTTCCTTCCCTTCCTTCCCTTCCTTCCCTTCCTTCCCTTCCTTCCTCCCTTCTTCCTTTCCTTTCTTTTCTTTTCTTTTCTTTTCTTTTCCTTTCCTTTCCTTTCCTTCTTTCTTTTCTTTTCCTTTCCTTCCCTTCTTTCCTTTCCTTCCTTTCTATTTTCTTTCCTTCCTTCCTTTCCTCCCTTCCCTTCCTCCCTCCCTTCCTCTTTCCCTTTCTTTCCCTTTCTTTTCCCTTTCCTTTCTTCCCTTCCCTTCCCTCCCCCTTCCCTTCCCTTTCTTTCTTTCCTTCTTTCCCACCCCTTCTTCTTTTACCTTCCTCTCCTCTCCTTTCCCCTTCACCTTATCTTTTCCTTTCTCTTTCTTTCCCTTCTTCCCCTTTTCCTTTTTTTCCCTTTCCCTGATTTCTGCACATTTGTCTTCCCCTCTCCCTCCCTCCCTCCCTCCTTCCTTCTCTCCCTCCTTTCATTTTCCATTCTAAATATGAGTTCTTCTTCCTTTTCATTTTGTAATTCCAAATTTTTAATAAAGTTTATTTTTCCATTAAAACAAACAAACAAAGGGCTGCTTTTCTTCCCAGGTGTTTTCCTCCCCTGCCCAAAGTGGGGGGGACAAAAAGGTAGAAACCCTACCTTACCTAGTGGTCAGAATGAACTGGGTGGGGCCACTGTGCCAGACATTAGAAGGGGGGGGGCATCTGGCTTCATTTATGCAAGCCCATTTTCCAGCTAAGGCAAGAGGAAGAGGAGGCGGGCCAACCTGATACAGCCGCCGATATCGGTGAAATGTCAATTAATGATTAAACGGGGCTACCAAGTCGGAGAAGCTGTCAGAAGGACTCCAGCTGAGCCATGGCAAACAGTGAGTAAGGATTTGGGGACATTTGGCATGTGGGAACGCGGCTAGGGGATGGTAGCGGGCCCAAGAAGGGGATCACAAACCAGACAGCGACCAATGCAGCTAGTCCTCGCCCTTACGACCATCATGGGGCCCAAAATGTCGGTTGCTAAGGGAGCCGTTTTTTAGTGAGTTTTGCCCCCATTTTACCACCTTCGTTGCCATGGCTGTTAAGCGAACCGTTCCAGTCGATAAGCGAGTAACACGGTCGTTAAGTGAATCTGGCTTCCTTTAACGGCTCCGTCAGAAGGTCGCAAAAGGGGATCGCATGACACTCACCCCCCGGGGACACTGCGACCGTCGTAAATGGTAGCCAGGTGCCAAGCGTCTGAATTGTAATTCAGGGGATGGTTCCACGGTCGTAAGTGTGAAAAGCAGTCGTAAGTCCTTTTTTTCAGTACTGTTGTAACTTTGAATGGTCACTAAATGAATGGTTGTAAGTCAAAGACTACCTGTACGATGTGAAGGAATTATGGGGCAATGTTTAGAGGGGGCCAAGCATTTCTTAATATTTAACCCCCTCTTAAAGAAGATGGGGGTCAACCTATTGTCCAAAGCACCCATTTCCTCCCTTCCTTCTTTACCCTCCAATTCTCCTTCCCTCTCTCTCTCTCTCTCTCTCTCTCTCTCTCCTTTCTCCCTCTCTCCCTGTCTCTCTTTTCCTTCTCCTTCCTTTCTCCCTGTCTCTTTCCTCTCTCCTTCTTTCCTTTCTCCCTCCCTCCCTGTCTCTCTTTCTCCTTTCTTCCTCCCTCCTTCCCTGTCTCTCTTTTCCTTCTCCTTCCTTCCTTCCTTCCTTCCTTCCTTCCTTCCTTCCTTC